GGGGGGTGCACTCGGGCCTGGTGGGGGACTTGGGGTGGGCTGAGGGCTCCATCTGCAAACTCCGCCTCCCAAATCCTGCCCACAGTCATCCCAGGCCCCCACAGCACCCGCTGTCTTCCAGACACCCTGGTGATTCCCAAAGCTCCCCAGAAACCTTCACGCAGACCTATGAACCAACCCTGCCCAGCCTGGGGACAGGATACAACCATGGGGGGTACAAAGGGGTCTGGAAGAAATCCTATACAGTTCCCAGCCCAGCTCTGGTAGCCACATCTGGCACCTCTGGGGCTGGGATTTGGAGAGAGCCTGGTCAAGCATGGGGAAAACTGAGGGAAGAACAGGCAAAAGGGAAAAACTAGGTGATAGTTGGAAGGAACAAGATGGATGATGGAGGGATAAAGGGTGAATTGGATGGAGAGAAGGATGCAAAGGAGGAGGGATGGACAAACGGGTGCAGGTGGGACTGGCATCGTGCTGGGCAACCGGTGCCTGTGTTGGTCCCGCAGGAAGCGCTCCTGAGCCTGTGGATTTCCTACAGCGATGGCACCACAGCCCCCCTCTCCCTCTATGACCCCAAGGACTACAACCTGGTGGTGAGCAGCCTGGATGAGAAGGTGGTCTCGGTGACCCAGGACCGGGCATTCCCCTTGGTGGTGGCAGAGAGTGAGGGTGCAGGGGAGCTGCTGCGGGCCGAGCTGGTCATCTGCGAGAGCTGCCAGAAGACCAAGCGCAAGAGTGTGCTCTTCACAGCCTTGGCCAGCGTGCGGGTCCACTTTGGGTCTGAGGAGGACCCGACCTACGACTACGACCACGTGTCCAGCAAGCCAGGGCTGGCAGAGACGGGGGCGAGCACCACCCTGCGGGCAGAGGTGGAGAGAAAAGCAGAGCCGAGTGAGGACAGTAGGATGTCCAGTGCGTCTCACCCCACCGAGGACTTCCCCACCATCCCCACCGGCTTTGTCCAAGTGACCAGGGGCCTGACGGACCTGGAGATAGGCATGTATGCTCTCCTGGGCGTCTTCTGTCTGGCCATCTTGGTCTTCCTCATCAACTGCATTGTCTTTGTGCTGAAATACCGGCACAAACGCATCCCACCTGAAGGCCAGACCAACATGGACCATTCCCACCACTGGGTCTTCTTGGGCAATGGGCAGCCCTTGCGGGCTCACAATGACCTCTCCCCCCAGCCCGAGAGCCCTGGGAACCCCCTGGAAAATGTCCAGACCTGCTGCCATGGGGACCACCACAGCAGTGGGAGCTCGCAGACCAGCGTGCAGAGCCAGGTCCATGGTCGCGGGGATGGTTCCTCGGGGGGCTCCACGCGGGACCAGAGCGAGGACCCACTCAACTCTCCCACCTCCAAACGGAAGCGGGTGAAGTTCACCACCTTTGCCACGCTGCCCTCTGATGAGCTGGCCTACAACTCCATCCCCATCGCTGATGAGGAGGACTTGGAGTGGGTCTGCCAGGACATGGGGCTGCAAGACCCCGAAGAGCTTCACAACTACATCCGCAGAATCAAAGAGATCGCTTAACGCAGGGGCAGAGGGGACGGGGCGGGAGGGAGGGGACTGCCATGCCGTGCCACGCCATGCCACGCCGTGCCACACCACGCCCTGCCACAACACGCGCCACGCCGTGCCACACCACGCCCTGCCACACCACGCTGGCTGCTTCCCCGGGGCTGGAGACCCAAATTTGGCTCTCTGTTGCGCGTTCCTTCTTCCACACATTTCACGTCCTCCTCACCCCCTTGGAAGGCACTCCCGGGGGCCTGTTTTCTTTTCTTGCCCTTTAGCGTCTGGTTTTCCCAGGGGAGGCAGCAGCGCACGCGCAGCCCCCCAGCCACTGGCCCATGGCCAGGGGGAAGCAAGGGAGGTGAGCTGCGGGGCAGGAGATGGATAGGGTCAAAACCTTGGTGTGCATGTCCAATGGCGAACAAGGCAGGACGATGCTACGGGTCCTGCTGTGCAGGGGGTGGAAGGGGGAAGGTGTCCCGGTCCCCCCAGGAGTCCATGGGGGAGGTGGTGGGTGGGGGCTTCCTGACGGCAGCGCCTGCTGCCTTCACTGCACTCGGTTACACAATTTTGGTGGTGAATCCTGTTTCAGGGATTCACTGCCCCACGGCTGTTGGGGTGTTGGGGAGCTCCCCCAGCCAGAGCCTGCTGCCCCACACTGTGGGTGATGCTGGGTGAGGCAGGAGGGGAGGGCGACTGCTGGGGGGCTGGAGACTCATGGCCACAGCTCTGGGGCACTGCTGTCCCCATTGCCCACTGCGTCCCAGGCCCAAATGCCAGGCTCGCCCCGCTCCCTTTGGCATGGGCCCTGCGGGATGGTAACAGTAATGTTTGCCACAGGGGCATCCCTTGGGGACCACGGGCAGCTGCCTGTGCCGCCTCCCTCCAGCTGCCTGGGAAGGGCTGTGTCCCCCAGGCAGGGGCAGTTTGGGGGTGGCCAGCAAGCTTGCTTGCCTGTCCTTGCCTCTCCCCCTGTTCCCAGCTGTGGAGCTGGTGCTGGGCCCCCCCACACCAGCAGCCCTGCTGGGACCTCCAGGGCCAGCCCCTGGTTTCTGGCCCCCCCCAGTGCCTGGATGCAGCTCTGGGGCTGGGAGGTGGTGCAGGGGCTTCCCACTGCCCCGGGGGGCCAAGCCTGGGGG